CTAATCAGCTGCCACTGCAGCCAAAATAAAATCAGGCCAAAGAATGTGGAAAGACTAGAGTGGGTTAATCTTCTGGACTCCATCTGTCTCCCATGCTAGATGCTTTCTGGCCTCAAACATTGGACTCCAAGTTCTTCAGTTTTGGGACTCACACTGGCTTCCTCGTTCCTCAGCTTGCAGACAGCCTATGGTGGGACCTCATCTTGTGTTCATGTGTCAGTACTCTTTAATAAACTCCCCTTTTTGTATAGATTTATTCTATTAGTTCTGCCCCTCTAGAGAACCTTGACCAATATGGAACCCAACCCACAGCAATTGCTGTATTTTACTGAATGAGCTAAAAACACTGGCTGTGCATTGGAACCATCTTTTGAGTTGAAAAACCTACAATACCTGGTCCACCCAAGACCAATTAAATCAATGACTATATAAGATCACAGGTATCCTTCATACAGAGAGGTAAGATCACAAGTAAGACATAAATGCATGCTTACAATGGAGGAAACTGACTCCCAAAGAAATTCAGATGTGGATAAGAAACCAGACTTGAAAGATAGGCTGGGCAACCCATTTACTGACTGAAGAATGGACATGTGATAATAATTTAAGGGATTCCATTGAAATGCACTGGGAACCCAGAAGAAATAAACTGGAGATAAGAACTGTACCCTAACTTCACATATGGGTGGACCTGAAATAAGGTAGCAGTGGAGATAAAGCAGAAAAGGGCTTGAAGAGAGCTCTTATTTCACATTTTTTAATGCTTGTTAATATAAACATGGGTAGAGAGGAATATGAATGAGAAAAGTCTAGGCTGATTACATGTTTCTTTCGGGGGAATTGAGTGGGCAATAGCGTCGTTCTCTAAGATGGGTGCTTTTTCACCTTATTCAGGAAAGGGAATTAAAGGATTAAGAAGTGGAAATGGATTCACTTTGGACGCAGTGTATGTGGGATACAGCAAATCTGGAAGTTAGGAGAAATCTGGAATGGAGAGATTTAGTGTGTTATTTTGCAAAAAACTGGTAGTTAAAGCTCCAGGAGTTGATAGGGTCACTTAATTTTAAATAAAGACTGGAGAGCAAAGAAGCTATGGTTACAAAGCAAGCAAACCAAGATTTAAGTGATGGACAGAGGTAGATTACTGAAGTAGAATTGTAAATGGCTAGCATTTTGAGAACTGTATTTGTCAGAGTAATAATATATATTACATGTATAATTAAGTAGTTATATATATGAGAGTAATTATATATGTAATTAAGCAGTAACTCACATGATCACAAGGTACCACAACAGGCCTCCTGAGGAGCAAGGAGAGCCAGTCCAAGCCCCAAACTGAAGAACTTGGAGTCCAATGTTCAAGGGCAGGAAGCATCCAGCACAGGAGAAAGATGTAGGCTGGGAGCCTAGGCCAGTCTGGTCTTTCCACATTTTTCTGTCTGCTTTATATTCTATCTGTGCTGGCAGCTGATTAGCATCCACCCAAGTTAAGGGTGGATCTGCCTTTCCCAGCTCACTGACTGAAACGTTAATCTCCTTTGACAACACTCTCACAGACACATCCAGGATCTTTGCATTCTTCAATCCAATAAAGTAGACACTCAGTATTAACCATCACAAGCACCAAGAACATTTTGTGATTTAAATACCTGTACTAGTAATAATTCAATCTTATTTTAAAAAAAGGGAAAAGAGGGGCTTTAATTTTAAAACAACTATACAACTAATTCAAAATTTCATTGAGCATTGACCATTTTCTCACAATCATATTTCTGGATGATCAAAGAGAGGACTCCAAATGCAGTTGCCCCTTTGCACTTAGTGAGTAATTGGATCTCTCCTGTGATTAAAACTCTCCATGGCATATGTGTTTCTCTGAGCCTTAGCATAAAGAACATAAGCTGATTTATAAAGCTTCCTTACCACCACAATCCAGAAACAACTGTTAGTAACACTGGAGTGAAAGCCAGATTCCAGGCTTTCTCAAAACCATATTGCTCCCTAGTGTGGATAAAAATCCCCCAGGAGCCCAGGAGGAGACACCATACTCAGCTGAGAATAAGGGGTGTGGGGGACATCAGATGAAGGTTACTTTTATTGCATTTTATTCAAAAATAGGGGCATAGGCAGGATCTTGCTGACAGTTTTCCTGGATTGGTTAGTTGTTATATAAGACACTCCCCTTTCTAAGAATAATTATTGAAAATGGATTTTCATCAGCCAAAACATCTATTCTTTTTACTCATTTATTCAATAAATATTTCTTGCATTTCTGCAATGTACCTACACCTGAACTAGATTTAAAAAACGTCTAGGATACATAGCTGTCATTCAAGGCCTGCTCTAATACTTGCATGTTTCAACTTTCATATTAATTCACATAGCATGTTTTATTTTGTTTCTTACAAATTATTCAGCACTAAAAATTAAAACATAAGTGTTTCTTACTTTCAAATTACCAAATATTTATGATATTTTATTCATTCATTCTTTGTTCTGAATTTAGTCAGACAAGTAAATTTTGTGAATTAATTTATGTAGTGGTCAAATCCTAAAATTCATTAAAAGAAGATCAATTACAATTTATCTTCCTCATTGCTTTTCTTATTCCATTATATGTTGCTGGTTATATCATTTTTTCTTAAAATGATATTTAAAGTTTTTATTTCTAAGAATATGAATAATAAATGCTCTTTTTAAAGAATTTAGACTATTCAAATAATTATAAAACTAAGCACTGAAAATACTTCTTATGATCTTTAAACACAATGATTTTTATTACCTGGTGATGCATACTCCTTCCATGTTTCTTTCCTACTTTTATTCATATAATATATGCTATTTTCCCTCCAAAGTGATTATAACATATACATAAATTTACCTCCTTCCTTTTAAAAGTATCATGTGCAACATCCCATGTCATTAATTTTCTACTTAAGTTCAATGGCTGCATAATGTTTGTATTATTGCATGTGTTAACTGTTTTCTAGAGAATTGTGAAACTCCTCTCTCCTCCTCCTCTCCCTCATAGGATTTTCCTTGTTTGGAAACCATATGTTCTGTTTCCGTTATGCCTATCCAGTCTATTTGATGGAGGCTGGGGTATAGTTGGAGCCTAATCAGAGATGTTTCTTTGCTTTTTCCTGTTGGATCTTCCTGGAGAAAAAATATTTTAATAACCTTGGCTGTTAAGGACACTGTGATAGAAGCTGTCTCTGGCTATAGATAAGTAGATCTAATACTAGTGTGAATATCTTTAGGGTTTAGAATCTAATGAGAAATAAAAAATACAAATCGGTGTGAGAATTGTGAGGGAATAAATTTCTGTTGTTTTCAACCACCATGTTTGTATTAATTCTTACAATAGTCACAGAAAATCAATGCAGGAAGTATAATCTTTTCCTTAGGATGTTGAAGTATAGATCTATCAGGTCTAAAAAAAAAAAAAAACTTTTTTCAGTTCCTTATCTGCTGTGACTAAAAGCTGTTGTTTGCCAGTCAACCAGGAATCTGCATTCAATATAGAAATGAAGTCTCAGTTCCCACGTATTTGGGTACAAGTTGAGACTAGTGTGACTGACAAGACACCAGACCACTCATTGATTTCAGGTCACAGCCCATAACTCTAAAATAATCATAAGTATTTAAAAATAAATATTTATTCACTATGGCACTATGTGGTTGAGTGGGTGGAATTCAGGTATAATAAAAGGGTCTGCCTCCCCAGAATTGAGAAGCTAACCAGAAAAGAGGAAAAAAGTAAGAAAAGCTATGTGTTTGCTACTGGATCATAAGGACCTCCAGGGCACGGCTTTGATTGTCTTTTATCCTTAGTATGTAGAAAAGTGTCCAATAAGCAGATATCATTCACAAGGTCACCTTGTCAATTACACGGTAATATGGTTAGTATTTATGTCCCCACCCAAATCTCATCATGAGTTGTAATTCCCATCATCTCCACATGTCAATGGAGAGACCAGGTGGAGGTAATTGAATCACGGAGGTGGCTCCCCATGCTGTTCTTGTGATAGTGAGTGAGTTCTCACAAGATCTGATGGTTTTATATGGGGCTCTTCTCTCTTCACTGAGCACTTCTTCCTGATACTTTGTAAAGAAGGTGCTCACTTTCCCTTTTCCTTCCACCATGATTGTAAGTTTCCTGAGGCCTCCCTAGCCATGCAGAACTGTGAATCAATTAAACCTCTTTCCTTTATAATTTACCCATTCGTGGGCAGTTTCTTATAGCAGTATGAAAATAGACTAATACACAAGCTGAGTTACAAAATGTGTGTAATATAGAAAATACCCAGTGAGGGAGGAAAGAGAGAGGTTCCAGTGACAGAGGGTCCCAGAGGCAGCAGGTCTCACTCAGAGTCCAGGAGAAAGAATGAGACCTCCTGGCCAGAGTCCGTAGGGGCAGCAACTTACGCTTCTTTTCTCTAAGCCACTGTCAGCTCTCAGCACTGAGAGGCTAATATGTTGAATGAGAGAGTCCCAGAAGAAATGGATACCTTGGAACCAGTAACACAAGAAATAAACAGTTGGGAAGATTTTGTGTATTCACTGCGAGACTGATCCTGCTGGGCTTGCAATTCACTCCTAATACCATTGTAGGGTGAACTGTACTCCCCAAAAGAAGATACATTCAAGTCCTAGCCCCAGTACCTGTGAATTAGCCTTATTTTGAAATAGCATCTTTGCAGATATAATCAAGATAAGGTGAGTTCATAATGAAGTACGATGGGTCTTAAGTTCAATATGACTGGCGTTCTTATTAGAGAAGGAGAAGCAACCCAGGAAAAACATCTTGTGATGACAGAGGCAAAGACTGGAGAGATGCATTTTCAAGTCCAGGACAGCGAGAAACTGGAAACCTCCAGAAGCCAGGAGAGAAATGAGCAATGATCTACCTCTACAGCCTTCAGAGAGCACACGACCCTACCTACACCCTGATCTCAGAGTTCTTGCCTCCAGAACTGCAAGGATACATTTGCAGCCTTTTAAAATGGGGATGCCTCATGAACCTGCGTGCCATCCTGTGCAGGGGCCATGGTAGTCTTCTTTGCATCATTCCAATTTTAGTCTTCATGCTGTGGAAATGAGCACCATTTGCATTGTTTAAAGCAACTCAGTTTGTTGAGTCTGGATAGGCAGCCACAGGAAACTAAGCTAGGTCCCAACATCCACATAGACTGTGATGCACGCTCTTGTTCTTCCCACGTGAGCAAAGTGCCTCCCCTGCAGATCTCTCAAGGGGTGGTTATGTTCTGCCTGCAATTCTCATTACTACTGAGCTTAGAGGGAGGTAGAACACCTAGTAACTGTTCCCTCGTTTCCTTTTCTGGCCACTGTTTCCTTCTCCTCTCTGAAAATCCCCAGCTCTGAATCTCATGTTGTCACATTGCCCTTTTCTTCCAATTACTGGGTTATTGCCCTATATTTTAAGACAGTTTTAGCTCGTGGACGATTCTATCAAGTTTTACATGGACTTAATTCCTCACAAATTTTAATATGTTTTTAGGTGAACCTTTTAACATCTGGGCCTTCAGATTTCCAGAACTCCTGTTTCTGAAAGAGCTTGTTCTTGGAGCCACCTTGGTTATTTGTTCTCACAGACATAGACTCAATAAATCCTTCCTATTTACCCAGCTCTCTCTTTTATATCCCTAACAAAGCTTTACCCTCACTGGGATTATCTGTATATTGATCTTACAACTTGTCACTACCCTTCACCCTCTTGATATTTGTGCTTCCCTCTTTACCCAGCCTACATTCTGTGGTTAATCAATACAAACCTCTTGCAAACACTCCTGACTCCTTTGCTCTTCTCCTCAACTTACTTTCGTGGCAAAACTACAACCCTGGTTGAATCCAACCTTCTGCTGATCAGATTTCTATATTTTTGTAGCTGAACATGTTGGGGGAAAATAAGCAAGTGCAGTGACCTGTTCTGAGGTGAGGTTCGTGATCACGGGCCTTCGTGCTGCTAAGCAGTGATGCATACCCACACCACTTCACATTGCTGGGTCAGACAACTTTCCACTGTCCTAGACTATGACTTCTCACTGCCTCCTTTCTCCTCAAACCTTTAGCACCCCCTCTCTACTTCTTATTCTCAACCTGATGTCTTCCTTACCGAGAAAACTGAAGCAGTCAGAAGGGAATTTCTTCATGCTCCTCTCACATCAACTTACGAACGTCTCTATCGACATATTCTGCCTTCCTGTGTGTTACCACAGATGAACGTCTATGCTCTTATCTAAAACCAGATTCTGCAACTGCACACCAAATCCCATCCACTCCCGCTTATGCAAAATCATCACCGTAACAATTCTTCTGCTTTCTCCTGCAATATCAGTGTTTTTTATTAATAATGGTTTATTTTCAATGGCTTAAAAACATCATGTAATACTTCCTTCTGTCAAAACTTTTTTTCTTAACCTCACTTTCCCTGCATTCTATTTGTTCTCATTATCAGCGGAAATCACCAGCATTACCTGTGTTTGTGATGTCCATTCCTCTCATTCTGTCTTAACTATGCTTAGATGAGTTTTTTTAACTGCAGAATAAATTTTCTCTTGAGTAACCAAAGATCACTACATGGCTAAATTCACTGAGCCACTGTCAGATCTCATTTCATGGAAACTGCTAGCTGTACCTGGCACCTTTAGTCAAACCTCCTCCTCATCTTCACTTTTTTCAACCTACTGCAACAGCTGGACACAGAATTTTTCTCCTGACCTTGACCACCTTTTCTCAGTAACCTTTGCTGATTCTGTCTTTGCTTCCTATTCTCCTACTGCTGGAGTCCTCGGTACTCTGGGGCCCTTGGTCCTCTTCTCTGCACACATGTTTGATAGTCTCATCTACTCTCATACCTTTAAGTTCTATCTTTATGCCTCTAACTTGCACACTTGTATCTGCAGTCTAGCCTTCCTTTCTGAACTTGCCTCAATACATACAACTCTGTACCTGGCATCTCACTTGTCTCATAAACATCTTAAACTTAACATGACATAAACTGAATCCATGATTTTCCCCCCAGAACAAACTCATTTCACATTTCACTTGCAACCTTCCCTTTCTGTTGAAGATAATGTAATCCTTCTAGTTGGATTTGATATATATATATATATATATATATATATATATATATAT